CCGCGCCGGCTGTGGCAATGCCACGGCAGGTGGACGAAACGACTCGGGTCGCGGAGGGTCTCATTCCTCACTTGTCACATTTGCGTGTTTTTTCCTGCCTGTGCTTCTGGAGCGACACGTGCTGGCTGCGTTTTGTGAGCGATGTATTATGGCATAGTGGCCTTCTCTTTCTCTCATTCATGTCTTGCTCCAGCCTTGCTGTGCAAGAAAGTAGGCAACAAAAAGGAGATTACAGACTCGGTCGGTCCTTTTTTTGGCGGATCTCCCTTCTCCATTCGCCAGATGCCGCCCGCGGCACGGAAACTCCTGGGTGCCGTACTGGTCGCACTCCTGGGAGTGGCTGCAGGGGCCGTCAGGAACCGTGCCGCGGTGGAGCTGTGGAGCGAAAGATTCGATGGAAGGAAGGTGTATCCCACCAGTAGTAGTTGGTTGAAACTAGTATAAAATCGATAAACAAATCTATTTGATAGAAAGGTCAGGAAAGTGTGAGCATCCAGGATTGCGCATGGCGCATGATGGTGCCAAGTGTGCACGGGCAACATGTCGTGGCCTCTTCCAGACTCAGCCTGAGCCTCAGGCGCTGAATACCTATCTCCTGAAGTTCCGGGAAGGAAAGTTCCGCCCTCAGATGTTCAAAGCAAAAAAGGGCCAATCTATAGAAGCATAGCATACCCGCTTTTGACCGCTAGAAAGTTGAGGTCCAGATGCTAAGTCGAGTGCACTGTTGCACACTCGACTTCCACATTTTTGCGTATGTTCCCAGGCGCGGCACTACGGTCTCGCATCCAAACCTGGTCTTTATGAGAGCCAGGGACGGGCGGGAGGCGGACATTTGGGAGTGCACCCATTGCCAACATAAAATATATATTGTATTCAGCTGGAAGCTGTAAGGAAGCCATTCCCGCCAGCAACCGCTTCATTTTCGTCTTCACTTCATAAGTGCCTCCGCAATCAAAACGCGTGTCATGCTGCGAGTTCGGAATCAGGTTCTTCTGATTGGCACCGTGCCCGTGGACCTCGACGAGGTGAATCAACTCCGCGCGGAGTGAGTCTTCCGCGTCTCGATGCGAACAGAAGTCGCGGGTGCTAGAAGCGGAAGGGGTGTGCTCGAAGTGGACCTGTGGCATGGGACGAACTTCCGGCAATCAACCTGGCTTCGAACATAAAAATTGGAACATATTGGAACATGGTTCGACGGTTTACCAGCAGGTATTGGGTGAAGAGGCTAATTTGTAACACCATTTGTCACACCTGGACTTCCACAGGCTTCCCAAGACTCAAGGGGTTCCTAGATGATTTTTGTAATTTAGACGTCTTAGACTGCGTGAACTTAACATTTAAGGACCAGAAGTGAGTGTCAACTGAAACTTGGATTCATGATGTTTCCAACATACTTCTGTATTATGTATGATGTTGAACTTGATGGCCCGATTCTCCCTTGGCCACGCTCGGCGACTGGCTGCAGGAGTCGTCACGCTTGGTGCGAGATGCCCTGAATGCTTTGCAGCCAGAGGCCGGTTTGACTCACGCAGTTTGATTCACCTGGTGAGCAAGTGACGTCTTTGCGGATCAAAGAACGAAGCCGAAAGAGGACGGCTGCGGGAAGTTCGGGAATCGTGCTCTTGGCTTGGGCACAGCTCCACGATGCTGGTGCGAGGGTCGTTTTGGTCTTTTTTTGGACACCGGACACCATGTAAGGCACTTGTCTCCGAAAATGGTGGGTTTGTGGGATGTGGAGGTTTAGTTATAGTTATTTATCAAGATGTACTGCAGCATTTCATTTAAGTTAAGCTTCATGTTGACCAACTTCAATGGTGCATTTATATCGTGTCACTTGAGACTCCATAAACACGCATGGGACAGCGAACCAAGCCGGATGTCCCACCCTGATCTAGACCAGGACTAGGTGACTAGGCACAATCAGCATCTTGTGAGCCTGACTTCAACCCCATTTTGCTGGACTCATGCTCAGCTAGCCTGGGCAGGTTGTGATGTTGGAGGGCACACCGTGCGGAAATCCCAGAGCCCAGGCATTCGGCGGTGCTTTTCGGAAAGCCCATGCATTTGTGTGATTTGTGTCGCCATTTGGGCAGGATTGGGTGACCTCAGGGACCCTGGTGGCTGAGGTTGGCAGGAGTTCAAGCCATGATGTCATCAGGACGCTTGAGACTCAGCATGGGGAGAGGTGGCTGATGGCACAGTGTCTTGGATGCGAAGTGGACCATTCGGGCCATTCCGCAGAATTGAGACGAGTTAACCAGTGTAGATTTAATTTAATCATATCTTTCGAGAGGCACTTCAATCATCTTCTATCGTGAATCAGACCTACAGTATTACATTCCTACATTGCACGGAGAACACTTGAGAACAACTCCTCGGTCTTCAAGCAAATTCCCTGTCCATCCTTTTCCACTGCGGAGCTTTCTCCAAGGTTGGGAGATGCAAGGCCTTCAAAAGCCCAATGGCAGGGAGCCTCGCGGAGACTACACCGGCGAAACTGTTTGAGCAGGTTTCGCGCGTGTCAGCGGAAGATGGTGGTCTAACTCGGCACGATGGTTTGCCGAATTCTTAATATCATTGACTTCGTGGTTTGCCGGGTGCCGTATTTGTCCTTCACTCCTGCTTGGTTCCCGGGGCCCCTAGAGGAAATGACACGACCAACAACATACAGAGCAACCGAAGCCATGAAAAGAAAAACCATGAACCTGCCGCGAACACGCTGAACACCCTGGTTCTGCTTGACAGAGATGTTCAGACTGCTTCCTGAGCCGGGTTGTCCAGTTGGACGTCGGTCCGACCGGCCAAGATACAGACTGGATGCACATGGATCCTGAGCCTGTAGAAATTCGAGAAGCGCCGAAGAAACGCCGCTTCTTGCCGTTCCTCTCAGGCACAGGTGACATCAGTGACAGAGACTTGTGAGGTTTCCTTCCGCTGAAACATGTAAACCACAAGAAGCAGTTTTGAAGAAGGTGATTTTCACTAGCGTTGGCCTACCAGATTTCTATAGAGGGAACTGTCGGGTCTGGCTATATTCCACCGAGTTTTCCATGGATATGTTGATAAATTTTGGTAGTAATTTAATCTTCTCAATGTAGTTCAAGTTTGCTGTATATATAATATAACAAATATATACTGTATATATATAGTATGATATAATGTAACACAATATAGTATATAGGTTGTGCCTCCTTTGTGCTCTGGCAAACCAACGGCTCTCCTGTCAGATCGGGCTTGGCCAGTTCTCAATGTTTGATGTCCCAGTTACACGACGCAGGACCACCCGCCGTGCCAGAGAGATCCAAGGTGCCGATGAAGGCCGTGGAAGTGCTGCGCTGATGTCGTTGGAAGCGAGATGTCTTGGGGTTGTGAAACAAACAACGGATCTGAGAAGTGCATGGACGATGGCACTGGGCTCAGATCAGGGTTATTCATGTCTCCCATGTGGTGGGAGACATTGTGACACGAGCCGATGGTGCTGGGGAAGTTCATCGTTGGATCGGAATGGGATCGTGCCAAGTTGGCTGTCTCAACGCCAGATCTACAGATCAAGAACATGGACATATTGTAACGTTATGCAACAATCAAATCCACTTTCGGATGAATTATACACATTACAAGAAGACGCCGTAAAGCCCCTCAAATGCATCCAAATGCAACATGTATATAGAACAAATGTAAGGTCCTCACCCCATGTTTCTTGGAGAACGCAGCATCAATGCGGATCACTGCCATCACTCAGCAAAGGGTCGCAACTTCCATCCGACTTGGCAGGTCTCGTTTTGGGCCTACCACCTCACTAGCGCGGTGGGCGGAAACATCGCCGCTGCCGCCAGGGCCAAAGGTTCAACAGGAAAAAATGCAGAAGTGCTGAGAGGAATTAAGATGTCAATTGCCACATGTGGCCATTCATTGTACACAGCAAGTTTGTGCATTTATAACTGACTCTAATTGAAGCATATTGAAGCTTCAGAAGTGTCGACCTTGACTTGGAATTTGTGAATTGAGACGAAGAGACGCTTCCAGCAGCACTCCGCAGCTCCTGGAAGCTCCACCGTCGGCCATCGCAGTGGTTCCGTGCTCCGATCGCTAGTCATGGCTCTGGCCCCTGCCTTTACCGTGGTCTCTCCTTCTGTGACTGCCCCTCACGTGGTGAATTTGGAGCACACTGCAAGGAGTGGCCCTTCTGCTAGCGGATTGGCTTCCACTAGCGCAGGTGCAGTGGGTCCATGATTCAGTGGTCAGTCACGGATGTTACATATGATTGCATGGAGGCTCGGAGAAGGCAGCACACTGGCGGGCCTAATTAAACAAAGCAGCTAGCAAACTGTGTTTTATGAACAGAGATCCAGCTGCTGTGAGGAAACATGTCAGAGATTGTGCGGGCCTTGTTTGCCCGCACCTAGTGACGGTGAGTTGAATTTCTCACGCGCTTCACTTGTCAAGGCATGTCCAGTATTTCATCACAACTTGTTTCCCTGTCCTGCTTGCACATGCGTAGCAAGCCCTATCCAAACTGATTCTGCCTCCTGCTGTATGTGTCGATTTTTGCGGGAACCCATCCCGTCAGCACTTCTTAGAACAAATCTATACAAATCTGGTAGGGAGGGCCGGTGGGGTGTACACTTCCTGAAACATGTGCATATTTTGCCCGTCCACAGCCGTGCAACGTTTCACCATGGCATTGCTGCCCATCATTCCCTTGCAGGTGCAGCTTTGGCAGTTGCTGGCTTGGCCACAGCCGCGAGCGTGCGCAAGACACGGAATCCGCGCCGCTCTAAGGGATCTGTGATGGTTGGCAACGCCAATGCCGCAGAGCCGGAGTACTTCGGCAGCACCTGGAACACCTTGCGACTGAAAGACCACAGCAAAGCAAGGTTCTTTAGTTTAGATATGTTTAGATGATGCGAGGTGTGATGAAAGTATTGCATCATTACATCAATCGCTTTGCTGCCCTTGGGGCTTGCTATTTTATGCACAGACGATAGCCTATAGCCAAGGTCCTACTACCGTGACCACCTGGTGGCTTGCCGTGCGCAACTGAACGGCGTGGATGCGCCTACCCCTGAGGAGACTGACAAGCACATGGAAGGCATCCAAGCCTTTGCCAAGCAGGCCCTTGCTGGCGCCTCGGCCGCCATGCTTTTCACCAGCTCAATGGAGGCAGCCGTTGCGTACCCGATCTTTGCGCAGCAGAACTACGCAAACCCTCGTGAGTACACTGGAAAGATCGTGTGCGCCAACTGCCATTTGGCCAGCAAGACTATCGATGCGAAGCTTCCCCAGGCAGTACTCCCAGACACCATCTTCAAGATGGAGATCGAAGTGCCTGCCAAGTATGCCAAGCGCCGCCAGCCTTTGGCTGATGGCTCCAAGGGCCCCATGAACATTGGTGCCATTGCCGTGATGCCTGAGGGCTGGAAGTTGGCTCCCAAGGATCGCCTTCCCAAGCCTTTGAAGAAGGAGATGAAGGGCCTGGCCTGGGCACCTTACAGCAAGGACTGGGGCCAGCAATCAGTGACCGGCATTTGTGCATAGTGGTTGAAGAATGCAACATATGTATGCCTGCCACACCAAGGCTAATCCTCGTATACTTGGGAAGGGCACGCACCCTCACAGCACCAGCTTGCTCCCAAGACTCGAGGTAGCCAAGAACTGACACCCTCAGCATGGACCGTTCAGACAGATGTTCTTATCGTGTTTCATTCATCTATTGCCGTGATCTCACATTCAAAAGGACTAAACATTCAGAAGGAAGGGACTTTCAACTAGCTTGAACACTTGAATCCTTGTACTTGACAGGAGTATCCCAACATCGTGGTGGCTGGCCCAGTGCCAGGCAAGACCTTCACTGAGGTTGATGTTTCATTTTGGCAGGCTTGAGCTGACTTGATGAGATGTAAGATGAGTTTGCCCTGGATTTGCTTTGATCCATGCAAGTTCTGGCGGATCCGCAGGAGAGACTTACGAGAAGATGGTCCTCCCAGTGCTCTCACCTGATCCCAACACTGATGAGACTCGTCTCAGACATCAATCGTGAGTGATCATGCATGGTGCATGGATATACCTGGCCTCAGTTTAAGACATGCAGACCCAGACGCAGGAGTTGGGAAGATTGTTTCCCATATTGCAGGTTTTGTTTTGTATGGATAGCTTTCGCATGCTTTGGCACATTTTCGCTAGGTCTTGTTAAAAAGGCTCGTTGCTAGAGGGCTTTCGTCACCCACCTCAGGACAAGATCCTGTTTGGCAAGGGCATCTTCTACTTCGGTGGAAATCGCGGACGTGGACAGGTGCGACTGGGCCAATCGAAGCTGAGAAGCCGAGCCGTGCCGTCGCGGTGCTTTCGATCCGTGCCGTCTCCGGAGCTGTTCAGAACTTCTCTTTTAATGAGCTGGAGGGTGCCTCAGAGGGTATCCCACACAGGATTGAAGCCCTCGGAACTTCCCATGTCTTTGTATGTTTTTGTTATGTCATGATGATCATGTTATTTCAGACCTTGACTGGTGGAGATATGTGCAGGTCTACCCTGAGGGCAATCAGAGCAACAACAACCAATTCCTTGCTGCTGCGACCGGCACCATCTCAGCGATTGATGGCCTCAAAGTGGCTCGGATTTTCAGAAGTCAGCACCGGATGTTCTTAGAGCATCATCATGACTACTGCACAAGGCCCTGAAATAATCATGGAAGTGGAAAATACACACCGGTGGTTTTCCACATCCATATTGGTGACTCAGAGGGTAAGGACTCTTTCTGTGACATGAGCAGCACCTTCGGGTTGGTTTCTCCACAGTTTGGAGTCCAACGAGTCAAACCGGCTACAGGGTTTGGTCGGTTCGGTTGCTGAGGTGAGCATCACGACCCCCAGCGGAGAGGTCAAGACCCAGGAGTGCTTGATTGGCGCTGACATCGTGGTTCAGGCACCGGTGGACGCTGCGTCCACCGCAGCTGCACTGCAGCGCATGCAAATGAACCTGTGAGAAACTGAGAAACAGGTGGACGTCGGGGTATGACATAATTATCCCAGAGAACTTGACCCTTTTAAAAGTGGATGCCCCACAAGCTTGCACACATAGTCGAGTTTCAGAGTTAGCAACCATGTGGCAAGGCAGAGTTTCAGCTCCTTTTGAGCTGTCAGGAATGGAGCACTTTTTCATGGGACCACACGATCATCACCTGGTCAATGAACGACGGTTTCTGCTCCAGGTGGGTGACGAGGTCACCAAGGATGAGCCCATCACCACAAACCCCAACGTCGGTGGCTTCGGGCAGGCAGACATCGGACGTTGAAGCATGAATCTTAAAGATGTATGTATATAACTATGTATATATATAAGTATACATATATATATATATATAATGTATTCACAGTAAATATGAAGTCTCATATTGAATGGCAAGATACCTGTAGGGGGATGGATGGCCATGGGCAAGGGCCTGTTGAATTTTTTGATTAGTCATCTCTGTGTTTCAAACTCATGATTTTCAGCACGGAATGTGTTTTTTCTCTCCCACGGCCTGATCACAGCAGCTGCGACCCAGAGTGTGGTTCTAAGCAATTCTTTGATACGGTGCAACAAAGCAGTAAGGGTAGAGCAAGGGTTGGTTGCGGCCTGGCAAGCCCAGAATTCTGGATTTGTTTCAAGAGTCAACTGGGTGCTTTGTACAATCAGGAAAGCTATGTACGTTCTCATGAACGCAGGTTATCAGAAATCGGATGTGCATTGTAAATTGGGTTGTAGGATGAGTGGGCTGTAGCAAGTGCGCATAGAACGTAAGGACAAGGAGCATCATGTCCAATGTGAACACCTGCATGGTGCATTTTTACGCCACTTCTGCCGCTTCCTAACGCAACATGCCTTCAGGAGGAGAAGGAGTGCGTCTTGCAGGACATGAACCGCGTTTACGCCTACTGCGCCTTCGCATTTTCCTGCTTCATTGCCCAGCTCAGCTTTGTACTGAAGAAGATGCTTTGCAAAATCTTCGGTTTGCTTCCGGTTCTGTTGGGCATTCATTCCATGAAACTTTGGGCATGAAACACGAACATCTTGCCAATCGTTGGAGTCAGGCGGTTCTCCGCGAAGGGCACACAAGCACGGACAGATCACAGAAAGCTATGCGACGGGAGCAATGCCTTTGTAATCCTTTGTGTACATCATATATCTGAGGGACTGATGTAATAAAAAATTATGCTTGATGTCGTGGCTGTCAACGTACAGAGGATGCTCAATGTGTTTTAGAATGGTATATGTGCGGATAATAGATTTGCATGTCATTACCGCGTGTGGTGTGGATAGATTGGAGTGTTTGCCCGCAAAGCTTGTTTGTTCGTGTATGCTCTTTGTCATTGCAAGTAGAGCTGAAGGCCCCCTTCTTTTAGTTTGACAATGTTGGACCACTGGACAGCAATGGGGCAATCGTTTCCCAGCTTCCCTTTGTACGTAGACCAAGGCGGCTAAGGGCATCTCCCCGACTCAATCTGTCGTGCTGCCCTGCCCCTGAGTCGACGCGAGCCGGATCCGCGCGAGACTTGTGCGAGACTCGACACCTCGGGAGCCCAGGAAGCAGTTTGAGAAGGTCCAACTGGCGGAGGGCTTCTGAGTTGCGCCAGCAACGGCTCTGAAACATGAAGCTTATTGCTCCGAATGGATGCAAATGCCAAGAAGAGCTTGCGTAAAGCATTGATGGCATTGATACTGATAGTCTAAAACGGTCTAGATAAAGAGGCTTGGTTGTTTTGTTGGTATCATTTTTGGTCCCTGCGTGCGTGTATTTGGTCATTTATGGCCTGAAATACCTCAAACGCACCTCCTGTGTTCCTCACATAATGCTCCCCTTGTACCTCCGTTTTCGAATTGCATACGGGTACTAGGCCAACCTTGAGCTACCAGCTGACAAGCATTCCATCCATCCTTCTAAAATCTTCTAAGCATGTGCATGTTTTGGTGTTAAAGAGTGTTTGCGTTTGATAACACAAGCCACTAGGAGCAAGAAGCTACTAGTTACTAGGGGCTCCTAGCATCGCTACTAGGCACAAGAAGCTAGTTTGGGCTCCTGGCCTTACTACTAGGAGCAAGGACGCTACCAGTACAAAAAAACTTGAGACTTTTTGAGACCGATGCTGGCACGCGTCCGTGCACTGGCCGTGCACCGCCGCGCGGCGCGCCCAATGGTTTGGGCTTCAGTTCTTCATGCACGAAATGCCCTGCACGGCATCGTGTGCGGACCAAAACGTGGTGCAGGGATGTTGTTCTTTTTGATCTTTACGAGATGCTGGCCATTCAACAGCTCTCAAGGACTGCAGGTGCTTGTGCACCCAGCCCACTCCAAGTGGCAGAGTTCAGCAGACTTACTGCGTTCGCTGTTCGATGCTTCCCGAGTTGGCCGGGGGCCTTTTCGAGGTCACTGCAGCTGCAAGTCAAGGAGTTCCTGTTCGCTTTTTAGGCTCCAAAGACAGTGGCGTCATGCAGGGCTACCAGCAGGTGGGCATGGGTGGGGGAATGAGTGCACCTGAGGAGAAATCGATGAGCTGAAGCTAAAGAACCTTTCTAGCAAGTGCTTTCATGTTTGTGTTCGTCCCCGCCACTAAATGCTTCAGGGATGTCTTTCCGCAAGTACGTGTTAAAAACACCCTCACTCCGACGGCTTGTGCCCTCAGAGTAGACATTTGTAAGTCAAGTTGTAGTTGTCAGGGTATCCTTGTAAGGCGGATGTTACGTTGGTACATTTTATGGTGTTATGGTTAAGTTTCAATCCTTGCCGCGTTTTAGCTGGAGCTGACTTACTTAAGTGGGGCTCGCACCAGCGCATCATTAGCTTGTCCACGAATGCTAATGTTAGTTATTGACAGGAGCTTGGGTCACAACCACATGTCAAACTAACCTACTCACCTACTCTTTTTTGCTGACATTCATACATATTGCCTGAAGCTCTACTCACCTTTTGCTGATCGCGAATTACTTGGCATCATGATTTATTTGCCAATGTGAGTGACTGCACGTTCTTCAACTACATTCAACGGAAGTGGTGAACGGTCCAAGGGTCCAAGGGTAGCGCATGGTTTGAGCAGGCCTCGTACTTGGACCTTCAGCATCAATGCCTTGATCTTGGCTCAACCCACATAGCTTCGCAAACAAGTGCGCCAGGAACATTAGGAGTGGACGTGTGCAGGAAACAAGAGAGACCTACAATGACCTACAGACAAAGAGGCCACGCAATTTGAGAGCATCACTCTGAAGGAGACTGCAATCCATTCGCTCATTTGAAGCAGGAAGACGGTACGGCGGTACCAGGTCATGGGAGCATGCTGCAACAAACAGAGTGTGGCCGGGCTGCAATGGACCGGTAATGGAGATGGTGGGAATGACGCCGTTGGGCAGATGAAAGTGGGAGGGAGAAAGTCCATGGTCTGGCAATAGGCAACGGAGCAGCTTCCAAAGTGAGTTTGCCATGCTGCTCGTACTATAAGTATGTGACATGCTATCATAGAAAGTTACACCTACTACATCCATCTACATCCTACTTACTGAGAGGGTGTACGAAATCAGTCGGTTACACTTGAAACCTGGCACCAAGGGTGTCAGATCTGCCAACCTGATCGCTGTGTTCGCCCCACGCCCCCCAAGGCTTTGCATCGGAACGTGTCCTTGAGGGCCAAGGAGTGCAGCCGCTGGACAAAAGATCCCAAGCCGTTTTGCCCTCGAACGCGATGGTCAATGTTTGCTTTGGCCAGTGGATTTCGGGAGCATTATACCGTATTCCTGATGTTTGAGCCATACTTCTTACTTCTTAGTGGAGCATGGTGGAGCAATATTCTGTGGCACGAAAGGCCTGTACAATGTACGTTTCCATAATGCTCAATATGTTTCAATCGTTGGTCACCTCTCACTCACGGGCCGTTTCTCAGTAGAATCTGAAAATCCTCGAGGCCAGATAATTAGTCAGATAGTGTAAGATACAGTAGCTATTCACAGTCAGCTTGCGCCGCCTAACATGGGCCGTGCCACTACCGGACTCGAAACTCGTCGCGCTATTCCTAGTCAGCTGTAGAACCAGAGGACAGTATCACGGCATTTAGGAACAAGTCTCTTACAATACACGGCTTTTCCTCACACCATAATATGTTAGAGCAATGTCAGACAGACAGTGCCTGTGCCGCACGCACATCCTGCAAATCCTGTGGCGCCCGAATTGTGTTGAAGGTTCCCCAGGTTCCCCCCTTGTCAGCGCATGAACTTGAGATGTTAAGATGAGTTTTGTTTTTCCCCTTGCTGGGTCCAAGAATCCAACATTCTCAGAATGGGGGAGGTCAACATAGGTCAACCTTCCAAGACTTTCCGACACCGCCCCCGGCCCTCCCCGAGGCCATGGGAGCGAACGGCCCCGGTCGGGTCCGGTGGATTTGCCGCCGGCGCTGCTGGGCGTGGAGACCCCGCAGGTGCCGGGCGACGTCTCGCTCGCAGCTGGGCGTTTCAGCGGCCCAGGGTGGGCCGAAGCCTTGGGCCGTTTTTGTGACCTTCTTTGGGACCAAAATGATTCTGCTGGAATGTGTGTTCGCCTGGTGGTTTTGCCCGCTTCCAGCGCCGCGAGAGGAAGCTTGAAGTCCTCATTCTCCCATATATCTCCCCAGCACCACTTCGCATGCCCAAATGCAAAGCAGTGTGTTTCTCACGAGTCCTACTTTAAGTGGAACAGGAGTCCTTGATGCAGCGCCCAGTCGTTTTCGAGACGGACGGTCCTTCACCATTCTGCACGCTTCAAACATGACACGATACTTTGAGTAGGGGCTCCTGGCCTTACTACTAGTAACAAGAAGCTACTAGTAGCTTGTTGTTACTATTAGCCCTGGCCTCCAACCGAAGCGATTAAGATACCAAGCCGATCCAAGCCGGCTGGTGGGTCTGGTACTGCCGTGGTCCTCAAACACCTCAAACTCCTCCGGCGTGCTGACACGATCGTCTTCCTGGCCATGACGCCAAGGCTGGCACACTGTCCAATTGCACCATTGTGGAACTGGCGAAGCGCTACAAAGCCTGGCTCTATTTGAATCCCAAGGGCCTTAGCCAGATCCTCAAACGTGTGAGTTGAGCTGTGTCATCCAAGGTGATATGGGCATTCTGAAAGGCATGTGACATCATGTGACGCAAGCAATGAAGCTCCTCAACAGCTCCACAAAATATAGTTTCTTCGTTCCCATGTGACTGATACATTGAATTTCAAGGCCGCCTCCTCTTTCAGCCCGAAGTGGATGGGGGTGTGAAATGGTTTGAACGCCTACCTGCTATTTGCTCGGGCTTGGTTGCAGTTTCGGACTTAAAGATGTTTGACGTGATACCCTGCGATCGAAAGCGACCGAGGCTCTCACTTCGTCTCGGGGCCTCGTCACTCGGCTGGTTCAGTGGATGAAAGCAGTTGTAGATCACTCATCCAGAACATTGGGCGCAAAAGCTCTGAACATGAGAAAAAACTCAACCAGTACTAGGGCCCAGCCCTCCTTGCACCACCTCCCCATAATCATTGATGACTGCACCCTTACTCATGAAAAGACTTGGTTTGAACATATATCTAAGCTTAGGTTTCATAGCCTTGGAGTTCACTGCATCAGCGATTTAGCATGCCAAACCCCATACCTCAGCGTTGTCCGTAAAACAACGCCCGTCGACCGTCCCACACTCTTCGGTCGATGCATCGACCCGAGGCATTTCGAATCGTGCGGTTGGCTTTCCCACCGAAGCGATCGAACGCGCCGGATGCCGGTGGAGACCTCAGCGAGACAGGCCCGCGGAGATCACGTGGCCAAGAGAGGGGACATCACGGACGCCCCGAACTAAGGAGCTTTCATTTGCTTTTTGTTTGTTTTTTTGAGCTACTATCGGGGGTAGTTTTGGTGGATTATGGTAGATTTATGTTGGTTTTGAGATGCTTAGAGCATGTGCTAAGTGATCTTCGGCATAAGCACGTAAAGTACAGAGCCATGTAACGAGCATATATGTTCATTTCTCCATTAGAATTGTTTGGGTTTCTCCGTAAGATGACGAATCAAAACTACTATATAATCAACATAGTCATCCATAAGAAGTCTGAAATTGTATCGGTTGCACATCGACTCCCTCTGCCAGGATCATATCAATCATAGAACTATCAAGACTATCACATCTCCATCCTTCCCAGCCACAACAAAGCCTAGGCTGCTGATTTTGGACTTCTTTCGGCCACCGGTGCCGCCCGAGCAGACTTCCCGGATGTTGGAGGCGATGAGCCAATTGCCCCGGCCGCTGATGGTTCAGCCACTGAGACAAAGACAGGCAGAGCTGTTCCCAGTGCCCAAGAAGATCCAAATTCATTAAAAAGTTCCTGCCCTTGTTGCTAGTAGCTTCTTGTTACTGTACATCTTGTTACTATATACTGTAGTAGCGATGGCCTCCAACCTACGTGCGAGTCCATCCAAATTCCAACAGCAGCACTCCAAACTTCCGCGACATCCCTACATGACATGACATTGTCTCCAGAGTGTGCTGTGACTAGTGATGATCAGAGAGGTTGTTGTGTTGTTTTTCTTGCAGGATGTGTTGTTTTGCTCCATGATTTGGCGAATTGGGCTG